CCTGCACAAATGAAGAATGCTGCCCTGAAGAAATCATAGACACGCAGGAGTCGCATTCTTCAGACAAACGTCAACCACTCGGCTAGACCGCAGGACCTACTTGCGCAAACGATGGCCAAGTGGAACGTCGAGCTGGCAGTCATTGCAGAATCGTACAAAGTCCCGGATCGTCCTTATTGGATCGCTGACGGCCTAAACACGGTGACCATAGTAAGCCGAGGTCACGACTCCTCCTCCTCGCTCTGAACTTTGAAACGAGGCCAAAGCTTCACGATAGTATCGTGGAGAAAGATCAATAACGGGCGTCTACGTCCCGCCAAGCTGGTCGCTAGAAAAGTTCTGGCGCCTACTAGAAGACCTAAGAGACAACTTCGCTCTTCTCTTCCCGCGAGAAACGCTTGTACTTGGCGACTTCAACGCCAAGTCAACTCTATTGCCCCCCCCCCCCTCCCCCGTAAGGACGCGAGAGGAGAAGTAGTAACTGAAAAAGACTGAATAGCAAGTCTTGACCACCGCTTGCTTAATACAGACAACACTAGCACCTGTGTCCGCTGGCAGGGAAAATCCATCGTGGACTTGTTATGGGCTTCCCCCTCCGCGGTAAAGCTAATAACAAATCGGCTGACTCCTTTTGTTTCCCTCCTAATCACGATGAGAAAGGTAGCTTCTTTCTGGCAAAACTGCATGGTTGAACAAGATCAATCCCATAAAATAATTTTCGCAATTATTTTATGGGCCTGACGATACCCAGAAATCCCTCATAAGTTTATCATTTCAAAACAATTAGTTTTTATATAAAAACAATTGGTAGTTTTTTTAGACCTCTTCAGTTTTACAACTGATATAATTTCAATCATTATACAACAGATATTTATAAAATTATAATGATATTAATGAATTAACCATTATATACTAACTGAACAACTGAACAATTGTGACAATAAATAATTTGAACAAAAAAATTCTACATTCTACAGCAACTTATAACATTTTTGTATTAATTGACAAACAAAATTGTACATCTGTTGAATGGTTATGTACAGGGTGTCAAAAACATGTTTTGTCATGGCTAGTATAGGTGAACTCTATATCCTCAAATCGATAAAGATCTGTTTAAAAAAAATGTCCTTGATCGACTGTTTCAAGGTCAAAATTTTCTTTAATCATATCGTGTTCTACTCGTCACAAGGACCAAACTTGTCAAAGAAACTATGTGTCCTATTGCATCCGTTTCATCAGAAATTAATATTGGATTATTAGCATCTATGGAATAAATCTTATCCATAATAGCTTCATATTGTGAACTTGATTACGGTATTGACGCAAAAACTCGCAAATCAATAATGTAAACAAATTGCTGATAGACCGAAAGTCATATAAACACAGCTTATCTATCTCTCCTTTCCGATTAGTTTGTGCCTCGGTGTTCAATATTGACAAATATATTTCAGGCTCTATCTAGCTTTGGATTGGTGTCTGTGATTCCTGTAGTATTCAGTGTTTATTCATAATGGTGCGACATAGAAATATTCGGCAAATGCTTCATGCAATTAACGAGGCCTTGTGTAATTATGCTTTGGCACGGCAAATATATAAAGGCTGGCTTAGACGCAGCGGATATCGCGGACAAACTCAAGTTCCTGATCGACGGAATTTTGAAAAATTAAAGATCAGCCGTTTGGAGACGTAGAATATGTATTGCATTCTCTCAGTAATTAGGGAGGCTGGTCGACCTAGAGTGCATTGGTGAATAGCGAAAAGAACGTGATTGCACTTGCACATTCCCATCCATTAATGGGTTTACGTACAATTGCTCGCTATGTCGGTATTTCACATAAAGCAGTGCGTTGTATCATTCGAGAAGAAGATCTTCGGCCGTAATGGATTCAGAGTCCGGGCAGTCCGAACTAACGATCGTGCTGCAAGGAGAAATTATTCACGCTGGATGCTTCGAAAATTACAGCAAAATAGATTTTTTCTAGAAAATGTGCTTTTTACGGATGAGAGTAGTTTTTCAAGCCATGCTTTGCACAACCGGCAAAACACTCGATTATAGAGTTACCGAAATCTTAACGCTGCAATACAGAATTTTAACCAAGGACGCTTTTCAGTTAATGTCTGGACTTAAATTATGAGAAATCAAATTATTGGTTCCATTTTTTTACAAACCGCTTAACTATAGTGATAGTGCATACTATCTTAATTTTCTGCGTTCGCGTTTAATAAATGAATTACAGTGTATCATACCGCGTGGAAGACATCGTTGCATTTACTTTATACACGATGGTGCACCACCACACTTCAGTAGACCGGTCTGACAATTGTTAAATAATTTGCAAAAATCCAAAAATTAGTGCACCAACGTTGGAAAATGAGATTGAGGACGACTATAGTATAAGTGTTGTACCTGAAACTATCAGAAATGTATTAAGAAAAGAATATCATGTTAGGGTTTCTCGAACAAAACCTAACCCTACATTAGTAAAAAAATAAATATTTACGCTTGGAATTCGCGAAAGCTCATGTTAATAAGCCAAATACTTTTTGGGAGTCTGTATTATTTAGTGATAGATCCAAATTTAATATTCATGGGTCTGATGGGAAAATAATGGTATGGCGGAAGAAAAACGAACATTTAAAATCTGTAAACATGTGCCCCACAGTTAAGCATGTAGGAGGCGGTGCTTTAGTTTGGTGATGCTGTTGTAGTGGTTACCATAGATAGTTATATATTATGGAATGAATATACATAATGTTTGTATGGAAGAATGAGTGTAACAAGAATGTACATATAATTGTGGTGCGGTGTGATCTGAGTGTTTGGTATATTTCATGGCAGAAGAAAGAACGAATGAGAGAGATGTATGGGAGAACAATTGAAAGCATGGTGACGAAAAACAGTTGTGATCGGGTCCACCAGCAGTGCGATCTCATATCGGGAAGCTGCAGCAACCTGAAGATGCAGATCAGTGAGAGCGACTCGGACTCCTCCGACTCATCTCTCCTTTCAAAGGTACCCAAGAGAATAGGCAGTAAGAGGAGCCGGATAAGCTCGTCCGAAGAGAATGTATCGGTGGAAATAAAAAAGAAACCGGCTGCACCTCCCCAATCGGGAAGCGAAGAAGAGGATTATCTCATTGACGCAGTCGACGCTCCGCCACCCTCCAAATCGTGCTAACCCCTCCCTACCCAGGAAGAGTTAGCCAAGGAGATGCGCATGCTGCCGACCGCAAACTTAGTTACCCTCATCATCGGAAAATCTCAGACCAACGAGAAGGTTGCTGCGTCCTCCAGCAACCTCAAGGGCACTCATAAGAGGATGATCAGGGAAGGTGCTGGAGCGCAAAAAGCTGCAACCACAGAGCTGGCTAAGCGAGTCAGCATCTCTAGTAGCGAAACTGCCCTCGAGCAAGAGAACATAAGGCCCAGGGCCCGCCTCCTCGAACTGGAGGAGAGGCTGGCTAAGTTGGAAAGCAGCGTGCCGCAACAAGCTGCCAAAACTGCAGCCAAGGCAACGTGAAACAGGAGACGGAGATATGTCCGGCCCTTCCTAAACAGGAGAAACAGCCACCCGTCACACGATCAGCCGCTCGGGAAGCCTGCAAGCAAGTCCGCCGCGAAACAGGACAGGAAGAAAGGAAACCGCTCAAATATCGGCCCGCTCCTTCTCCATTGAGATGATCGAGAAGAGGCTGTCCAAGCTCAGAGAGGAGCTGTTAGATGCGATAAGAAGGCCGGAACATCAAACATCGGTCGCAAACAAGATGATTAATGAGTCGATAAGTGCGACGAAGGCGCAAACGCGTCCAACAGTAGAAGCTCGCCTACCAGTGGCTCGCGCACAAGTACTGGCACAGGCCCCGGCCACTACAATGCCAACCACCACCAACGACCTACCGAATGGTCGAAGGTGATTGGAAGGAAAGCGAGAAAAGCAGCAAAAAAGAAAATGGCGGATACCACCACACCACCGCTACAGCAGAGCAAAAAGCAGAAGCCACGCCCTCCCCCCAGAGCGCCAAGGAGAGCAGCCGTAACTCTAACAACGGCCCCTGGATCGAAGGAAAAGTATGGTGAACTGTTGAAGGAGACGAGAGCTATCAACTTAGGCGAGTATTACCGATATTCGTTGGCGCTGCGCGTTAAACGGCGGCATAATTCTAGAAATACCGGGCAAAGACAGCGCATCGAAAGCGGACGCTCTCGCGACACGATTACGAGACACGTTCGCGGAAAAAACGAGTGTTAGAATCGCAAGGCAGAATAAAAAAGCCGACTTAAGGTTAACAGGACTAGACGATTCAATCACGCCGAACAAAGTCGCGCAAGCGGTCGCGTCCGCTGGAAGTTGCGATTTATCGGAAATAAATACCGGGGAGATTAGACACAAAACTCTGAGGGCGATGGGTTCGATCTGGGTACGTTGCCCAGCAACCGCGGCAAGAAAAATCGCGGCGGCGAGACGGCTGATGGTGCAATGGTCATCAGCCCGCGTCGAACTGCTCGACCCGCGACCGCTGCAGTGTTATTGTTGCCTTGAGCCAGGGACACGTAAAACAAAACTGCACCTCAACGGTCGACCGCAGTGGACGCTGCTTCGCGTGTGGCTCCAAGGAGCACACCGCGAGAGACTGCAAGGCGGAGAAAAAATGCCCTCTGTGCTCGGACTTTGGTAGACCCGCGTCGCATAGACTAGGCAGTAGAGACTGCAATCCGCGCACCGAGAAATCCAAAAAAAGGAGGGAAACCAATAACAAGGGAAAGGACAAGGAAGCTGCGATCTGCTCCTCCTCCGCGCAGACACAGGAAGACGCAAGTAAGACAATGACTGCTGTTAAGAAACCGCATGAAAATCCGGTCGAGCTCTCGACGTCCGAAAAAAAGATGGAACGCGGCCCTGAAGAGGCCATGGACACGCATGAATGATAGCCCTCGCGGGCCGCGTTCTGCAAACCAACGCTAACCATTCGGCCAGAGCGCAGGACTTGCTCGCGCAAACAATGGCCGAGTGGGAAGTTGCTCTAGCTGTGATCGCGGAACCATACAGAGTCCCGGACAGTTCAGAATGGACCGCCGATAATCTAAATTCGGTAGCAATAGTGCGCAGAAACCGCGAAATCTCACCTCCTCTTCGGATAACAAGTCGCGGAGCAGGTTACGTGACTACATTCTCGGGGGGAATCAGTGTAACGGGTATATATGCCCCGCCCATATGGCCGCTGGAACAATTCGAACGGCTACTGGACGAACTACACAACAGCCTCGCACCCCTCCATCCGCGGGCTATCCTCGTCCTTGGCGATTTCAACGCGAAATCGACGACATGGGGCTCCTCGCGGACGGACGCGAGAGGAAAAGTCACCGAAGACTGGGCAACGAGTCTCAATCTTACGCTGCTGAACAAAGGCAAGAAAAGCACCTGTGTACGATGGCAGGGGGAGTCCATCATCGATCTAACGTGGGCCTCCCCTTCTGCAGCCAGATTAATTACTGACTGGGACGTAAACGATGATGTTGAAATCCTAAACGACCACATGTACATAACCATGCGCGTCGCACTCCTAGGGAGGTTAAGCAACAATGGCCGCAACTCCCAAAGTAACGGACGAGAGAGGAACGAGCAACCCGCCAAACCGCCGGCAGCAAGATGGGCGCTCAGGAAAATGGATATGGATTTGCTCATCGCGGCTGCGCACATTGCTGTGTGGCTAGACCCGCCCATCGGCCCCACTTCCACATCGGAAGAAAACACGAAGTGGCTGTGCAAGTCCATGACGGGCATCTGCAACATGGCAATGCCGCGAATAAGGACACATTAAAAGAGAGCAGTATACTGGTGGTCATCTGCCCTGGGCGAGATGAGGAGAGCCTGCCTCCGCTCCCGGAGAAAATACCAGCGTGCACGCAGAAAAAAGAGAAGAAACGCAGAAGAAGAGGAGCTTCTGCACTGCCGGTATAGAGCGTCCATCTTAACGCTACAGCAGGCGATAAAAGAGGCAAAAAACCGGGCATGGAAGGAATTGTTGGGAACTGTAGACCAGGATCCAGGGGCAGGCCATACCGTATAGTATTGGGTAAACTGAGGCACAAATCTCAGCCCATTACGGAAACACTGGTCAAAGCTACACTCAACCAGGTACTTACCACCCTGTTCCCCGACTCTCCCGAGGAGCAGGGACGGGCAGGAACAGTGCCAGACGCCAACACTCCCCCTCCAATCACGGAAGAGGAACTAGCCGAGGCAATCCGAAGAATGGAGAAACGAAAGGCTGCACCGGGCCCGGACGAAATACCTGGACGAGCATTGGCACTCGCCCTGCGCATCCTGTTCGAACCGATGAGGAAAATCCTCAACAATTGCCTCTGCACGGGGAGATTTCCCGGAGGAGTGGAAAATGGCAAGACTGGCATTGATCCCCAAGCCCGGGAAAAGACAAATGGACACCGCATCAGCATACCGGCCCATCTGTCTTCTGAACGAAGCTGGAAAGATATTGGAAAGGATAGCTGCCAATAGGATCAACGAGCAGGTCCGAATATTTCGGACGACCAATATGGATTTCGGTTGGGGCGCTCCACACTTGAGGCGATACAGCGCGTCACAACACTCGCACGATCCGCGACTTCCCAGGGTGGGATAGCACTGGCAGTGTCGATCGACATTGTCAACGCTTTCAACTCCCTACCTTGGAAAAATATAAGAAGAGCGAGACACAGAGTGCCGTTCTACCTGAGCAGACTTCTAAGTAGCTACCTCTCCCGAAGATCAATCTGTTACAGCGAAGAAGGAGGGACCCAAGTAAGGAAAGAAGTAACACGAGGGGTCCCGCAAGGATCAGTGCTTGGTCCCCTGCTATGGAACATCGGTTACAACGCGGACTTGAGCGCAGCCGTCCCCAGCGGCGTGCACATCGTCTGCTACGCGGACGACACGCTAATCATAGCGGGGGGAAAGGATTGGACCCGAACATTGAGACAAATGGAGGCAGCGGTTGCAGCGGTCATCTTCGAGGTGAACAGCCTAGGCCTAGAAATAGCGGCACACAACTGAAGCCATTTGGTTTCACGACCTCCCGCGCTCTCGACGCCCCCCACAAACGTGGCTGTGCGTCAAAGAGGAGTGCGTAGGAGTCAAGGACACGCTAAGATACCTGGGAATCATGCTAGACAGTCGCCTGAATTTCGAGACGCGCTTCAAACAGCTGATTCCCAGAGTAGAGGGTGTAGCGATGCACCTTGGAAGGCCAAACGTCAGCGGCCCGAGAGTAAAAGCAAGAAGGCTATTCACGGAATGACAAAATCAATGATCCTGTGTGGGGCGCCCATCTGGGCAAACTACATCACTGTCGCCAGCGACAAAGCCCTGCGCAGGATTCAAAGAAGAATGGCTACCCGCATCATCAGGGCGTACCGCACCGTATCTCACAACGTCGCTGTCACCCTCGCAGTAATGATGCCATTCAGAATACAGGCAAAAGTCGAAGCAGACACCTTCCAGCAAGTTCGCGCTGCAAAAGCGAGCGGGGCGACATTTACAAAGGCGGACAAGATACGGATGCGCAGAAAGGCCATGCAACTTGCACGAAGGGCGTGGATACAGGAATTGGAGAATAGCGGAACGGCAAGACCGGTCATTAGAGCAATTGCTCCACACTGAGAACAATGGGCGACACATGGGACGGGAAAACTCACCTATGGAACGACGCAGGTGATAACCGGACGACAGTGGCATGTAAACTGTGTGGAGCTGACAGCTTAACACACAGTTAAAGAATGCCCGTCTTTCAGTCAGCAGAGAAGAAGGCTGAAAGATGCAATAGGTCCAGACATCTCGCTGAGCGCGATCATAGGCGCTCTGACGAGAAGCAGGAGTGAGGAAATTGCCGTCTCGCAATTTTGTGAAGAGACAATCAAGGCAAAAGAAGCAACACAGAGAAGCCGGGAGAGGGAATACCCAGCAAGCCAAGAAAGGCGGCGACGGCGACCTAGTGTGAGACGCCGAGACAGGAGATCCAAAATCCCAGAATAAAGAAGAGCCCAGAGATCGCGCAGTACCCGTAGCTCAGATGAGTTACAGACGAACGTTGAGGCAACATAAGAAAAGAAGTGAAGTATCGAAAAATGAACAACAACGCCAAGTAAAGCAGAAGATGCGGTGCGGCTGCGGCAGCCGATACAGCGAAAATAAACCCAAGGGAAGGAAAGAAAAAAGAGACCAGAAGCCGCAAGGCAATTGGAAAAGAGACAGCGGAGAATATCTCGGTCCCGCAGCCTCGAATAAGTACACGATGAAGGAGACCGTGGAGGTTTTACTCGATAGGAATCCGACACTATCCAGCTCCGTAACATGGGGTGGGTGTCTTATGTAAGATTTCCTCCACGTAAAAAAAAACAGTTGTGATCGGGAAGATTCCCAGACGCGAAGCATGAGAGATGAGAAGCAAGAGTGAATTAATAAGAGAGCGAATCAATGAGAGTTAAACATTATATATGTTTCATAATTTATATTAAATCTATCAATAATCAGTGTGTTTGTTATCCACTAACAAATGGTAGCAGAGCTCCGTGGTTACTGATAACGTTTAAAAAAAAAAAATCGTGAAAGTGAATAAAAAGGTGCAAAGATGACCGATGCGTGGAATATCGCGTGCGTTGAACCGCCTGACGATTCAAACTACTTTATATGGAAAGAAACAATAGAAGGAATCCTACGATCGAAACGATTGTAGGAAAAGGTGATTGTAAAACCGTTGAATGAACCAATCGTAGGAGAGGCAAATTATGAAGAAAAACTAAAAAATTGGGATGAGTGGGACGATATACAATTACGCATCTAGGACCATTATGATTAATACAACGAGTAAGGCACAATTACTAAGGTATAATAGCATAAAAAGTGCCGATAAATTATGGTTAAAAATCAAGTAAGATATGGCTGCCGAAACAGAAGAATTGAAAGCAAGATCACTTAATGAACTTTCGATTATCAATATGGTGAAAGACAAAACAATTGACGCTTTTATAAACAGGGCAGAAGCCTTAAAGAACCAATGTATGCAATTTGGAAGAGACATTGAGGAATATGAATTAAAAATGTATATATTACGAGGGGTTCGATCAAAATATGATCCTAACGTGAGAGTACTCGAATCACAGAGGAATATATCAGTGTATGATATAAGATTCGCGTTAAAACAGAAGGAACTCAGAAAAATAAAGAGAAAGGAAGAAAAAAGAGCAGAGAATACGAGCAGAGAATACGAAGCAGTGAGAAAAGTAAAAGAGGAAGCTAGAACTGGTGGTAATTGCTACAACTGTGGCATCAAAGGGCATGTTTGTAACCGAAGAAAAAAATGTTTCAACTATCAGGGATTTAATCACATTGCGGTGAATTGCAGAGAAACTGCCATGAATGGAAGAGAAACGCTCCACCAATGAGAAGAGAACCAGGAGAAAATTTTCAGGGTGGATCACGTGGGCGAAATGCGAGACAACATTGGAAGGGATGAATCCACGTTGAACACGCGTGAAGAAGCGGTACTGAGAGTAAGCGAAAATCCAAAAAAGGACAAACTGTATGAGATGCGTGAAGTGGATGAGAATGATATGCATGGATGTGAGAATAATAATTATCGTGTATAGCTATTAGATTCCGGGTCTACGATTCACTTATGATGAATTAATATGTGATAATTTTGTTCAAGAAAAAAGGCGAATTACTATGGCAGATAAGGAAGGAAAGGTATTAACCTTGAAGGGAATTGGTAATGTCATTGTGAGACAAGCTTCTAGAAATAATAATGTAAAATTGGAGAATGTATTGTGTGTGCCAGAGCTAAATTCGAATTTACTTTCAGTTGCGAAGATAACTGATCATGGGTATGATGTAAATTTCAGTAAGTACGGAGCGATAGTGTATAACAAGTCGAACGGAATTCAAATGACAGCGGTAAGAGTGCAAGATGCATAGTATGTCAGGACATCCATAAACTACGAGAAGACTGCGGCAATGTCATCGAATGATAATATATGGCACAAACGATTAGGACATGCAAATAAAGACATCATAGAAGAAATGAGAAGAAAAAATCTGGCTTTAGGTATGGAAAGTACATGGAAAAGTGTATGTGAATCATGCGTGAAAAGAAAAGCACGTAAGAAGTCACACCCGCGACATGATGCGAGGAAAACAAAGCGTATTATGGAATTGTGGCATACAGACTTGATAGGTCCGATCAAACCCTCATCGTATGGTAAGAAAAAATACATACTAAGTATAATCGATGACTTTTCGAGAATAATGTTTATACAGCTATATACTAGAGGATAAAAGTGAAGCGGCTGAAGAATTAAAAAAGAATAATAATAGTAAAAGAAAATCAAACAGATCAACGATTGAAGCGAATTAGGTCAGACAACGGTGGAGAATATCTTGGAAGAAACTTGAAAAATTGGTTTGATTCGAAAGGAATTAAACACGAGCTAAGTCCCCCAATGACTTCTGAATTTTATCGAGATTATAATGGATCAACATATCTATTTGGACATATTACAGGAAAACTTTAAATCCAGTGCAGAAAGATTAAATCTCGGAAATTTTATTTTTCAACAAGACAAAGACGCGAAGCTGCTAAACATGTTAAAGAGTGATTGCTCTACAATGCACCAAAATAGTTAGTTTGGAATTGTATGAGCTCAAGTGGAGTAGGTGAGCTAGTATTCATCGAAGACATAATGGACAAAGGAGTTTATTTGGATATCGTAAAGATAATGTAAAAAAAAAAGTTTAGAAAAATTAAATCTCGGAGACAATTTTGTC